CAAGGGCGGTCAGCACGGCTGCTCTGCCCCGGTCACTGCCTCTCTTATTAGGCAGGAATGGGGCTTGTTTGTGCCTAAGCAAGCAGGTGCTTGGGCAGAGATATTGGGGGTTTTTTGGGTCTCGGATAGGATATTTACACTTTCAGTTCTGCTGTCGCATTGGTAGAACCCAGTGAAAATGTAACTAGGGAGTAACATAAAAGATAAGGCACACTCAGGAATACGTAGAGACTTGTTTACCAGGTTGAAGTGGATTGGGGCAAGTGGTTGACTGAAATCATGAGAACATGTAATCAATAGCGTGGCACTCAGTCTTCTGAAGATGTAGAATATACCCCAAAATACTTGGGTAAATGTATAAACACTGCAAGAGTTGATTTCCCTTCTTCTTCATCAGATTGCTGTGACAGCTTCTACTATGTATTTTCTGACAGAAATGTGTATTTGGCATGAAATACTTTTTTTGCTGGTTATACTAATCAGCAGTCTTACAAGACACAAGTAGATGCCTCAGTTCCCCCTGTTTGTAGTTACAGTCACCTTGATTTTATCTTTTTTTCCCCTCTATTCTAAAAGGTACCCTATGAAAACTACCTTCTGGTGATGAATTGTCACTTTGTCATATTCTAGCATGTTCATAATACTTTCTTTTTGTACCTGAGTAATAGTTTTCATATGGATGTCAGCTTTTCTGTAATAAAGCAGTATTTGAATACAGGCTGAGGTTAATTTGAAGATTGGGAGGTAACCCAAAGTCTGTGTTGCATAAGGAGTCATGAGACCTTAAGATAGAAGGTAGGGAGGACTTATTAAAATTTTAAAGTGACTTGTATAAGGTGCAAAGTATCAGTAATGCCTGGAAGTATGTACTTTGATGTACAGTGTTTACAACAGCTGTGACTAAAATTCTCCTGGCTTTGTTTCCCATCTTTCTGTCATGGCAAGTTAGTGCTGTAACGAAATGCACATGCAGATTCGACAGTTCTCATCTTTTAAGGTTTTGACAGTGTGCAGCTCCGAACCCTATGAAAATACAGGCATCAAACAAACTCAAGTCCAAAAGTAGTATGAGCATTCTTAAAACCACTGTGGGGTGGGGGTTTTTTTCCCTCTCCTTTCACACTGATGGAACTTATTTTGTGTGCCCCACATAACATTATCCTGAAACTAAAGTGAATGTATCCTACCATTAAAAAAAAAAGTTGTACTTCTAATGTAAACGCTAGAAATAACCTTTCAGAAAGTCTGCCTACACAAAAGAGACTGTACAGTCACAAAGCTGTTAAATTTTTTGGTAGGTTTAGTTACTACTTCAAGTAGTCTTAAATGTTAACATTATAGCAGAAGTTGTTTTCAGACAGCGGTATAGCCTGTTGATTTGAGACAGGCTGTATTACCTCTACAAACCTTTATTCTTTGTTGCATGCATAGTTTACAACTAATATGCAAGATTTTTTCCTATCCTTGAGGTAATCACACTGAAGGTATTATAAAGACATAGGTGAATCAAAAGGACTCAGTCTCCTTAAGACTAAGGATACACTTTTTTTTTTTCCTTCCGTCTTTTACCAAGCCCCTGCAAGGGCTTTGTGGTGTGATCCTACCACTGTGTGGTTAAACCTACTGGGCTTCTCAAAGTTTATTAAGAACTCCAGAATAAATAGGGCTCTAATACAACCTAACTTTTGTGTTTCTCAATGGACTGAGTGAAACTTGGTCGCTGCTTCAAGATGACATACATATTAGTGAATTCAAAAAGTCACTGTATGGACTGGAGGGGTCTTAAGAGCTATGTCTTGTTTTAAAGAAGAGTTACCAGAATCCAGTCCCCAAGTTTGCTTTTCTTAGAATTATAGTAGTCAAAATTCATAAATGGTGCTGAAGCTGTACACGGGATTTTTGTGTAGCAGTGACGCAGGCTGCCTTAGAGTGAGGATGAAGTGGAAGTCTCTGTGTGTATTAGAACATGAATGGATCTGTACTTTTTCATCATGTTACAGCAAGCTTATCTGTCTTAAAGGAGTATGACAGTTATCAATAAAAAAATAAATTAATTTATGATGAGGAAAACTAATGCATTGGGGTTTAGCTGTCAGAAACTTCAAACTTTTAATCAGCAAAACTAATGAAGATAAAAGAAAAATATTGACAGTGCTGTAAGCTGGATTAAAAAATATAAAGTAGTTCTCCCTAAGCAAATTTGGGGGGGGGGGGGGAAAAAAATCTTGACCAAAAAGTTAAATTAATGTGATGTGTGAGCATTTTATATTCTCGTCGTCTGCAGACTGTACCGTGTTCTAAGGAAGGGTTCCTCAAAGCAGAGGCTTAGAATGGGTTTCAGGATGGGTAGCTTGTAGCTTTCATACCTCAGTACAGCAAATATGTCAGGGTAATGAGCTGATAATATAATTGCATTAATTTGTGCTAGGTGAATATCTCTAAGTAGAATATTTTACACTTACTAGACTGAATCATGGAATGGATGAATGAGCTTTTCCCTAAAGTTTCTTGAATATGGTGGTGTCCTACCTACTTTAATAAATGAAATTAAATTCTAATTCAAAAAGTGGCAATGGCAATTTAAGCAATTTCTGATTTAAGATGATAGCTAAAACATAATACAACATAGATATTTAAGGGTGGTAGATTATATGGGGTGTGTAGGTTAGGATATAATTTTAAGAAGTTGAACTCTAGACTGACTTGGGATGGGAGAACTTCCCATGTGGTCTGATTAGGTGATTTCTCAAAGTGAGCAGTGAAATAATTTTCTTTGGCTCATTTAAAACTGAGCAAAATGAGGTAGGAAGCATGTGATATATATGCAGTGGAAAGAATACTGAGAACAGTTTCTGCTCTTGCATATTTCCCGTGACAAAATATAGATAATGTTTTGATTTAAGCAGATGTTCCTTTAACTTAAAATACTTTAAATAAAGCTAAAGTGGTAACTTTCCTATAAGTTTATGAACATTGTGTTCCTGTTTGTAACTGGATATATCTTGTATTTTTTAAATGTTTGTACCAGTTTCAGTGTAGGGTAGCATTTCAGGCATCCTGAAGGAGTTGAATTTATGCTTATAGCTTTATAGCTTTATGCTAATGAAGTGGTGAATGAAGAATAAAGAACCTAGGTATTTTGTGAATTCAAACTAGCTAGTGTGTTACATATTAGTAAGAACACATTGGAAATGCATTTATCCTGTCAAATGTCTTTTATGTGGTTATTCATGTACCCGAGTTAAAGGTCTACATAACTCTGCCTCATCCAGAACTCTGGGTGTAGATGTGAATAATTGTTCTTTCCCCTGCCTTTGAGTTGCCTCTTGCACAAAAACCAAAACAAACAAAACCACCAAACCCTAGAGGCTAGTCCAGTTCAGTATATTCTTCCATGAGGTACAGATAGGATTTTGCTTGTTTGCAGTAATTAAAACACTTAAAGCAAAAGCAAAACTTAGATTGTCAGTATGAAAGTTGGAACTCCATAAAGTCACTGATATAATAATGAAGGCCTTTTCTCATCTAGAGTTACTTTTTCCTTCTCTTCACCATCCCTTTTCATTTATAGAACTTGAAAAAGAGAGCTAGTCAGGAAGGGGATGAGTTGAGAGTATTCTGATGCATTTCCCATGGTTCCGGTCTGGGGATGCTACTGGCAGAAGAGGTATGGTATGGATAGAGAGCCCGTGTGGATGTGTGTAACTGTGGATTTAGTGTTAACTGGTCATAATCTGGGACTCAGATATTTGAGCTCACCCTGTTGCAAACTTTTTTTGTTTGTTGTGGGTTTTTTTTATTGTACTAACTTCTATTCTGTTCTTTGAAGTCTTTTACAAATATCGCCCTGGCTCCTAACAATAAATGTGCTCCAGGAAAAACTCCTACCTGCAACCATTGAGTCTCTGGAGCTGATGTAACTTTCTTGCTGTATTTTCTACAGTACCCAGTAAAGTAGGACTGTTGCCTTAGAGGAGCATATGATCCCATATGTGATGCAGACAAAGTCTTTTCTACTGGGATTTTTCCTTTTTTTTTTTTTTTTGAAAGTGGGAGTACACTCAATTCTAGTGCTACAGAGTTTCAGCAGGTGTTTCTTGAAGTTGTCTTGGAGTGGCTGCTTTCTTTGGGTACAGAGTCACTCCTACTGTACAAGGTTCTGCAGCTCTAAGTAGCCTACAAGAATGGTTAAATTGAACTTGATATGGAAGGGATGGGAACAGGATGAGTATGGGCTATCTTGGGCAGTTTCTTGAAAGACTATAACGATGCTAGTAAAAAAAGTTCTGGTTTGCTGTCCTTTTGACAGGACACTTACTGACAGTAGGGCTTCTTAGGGCTTTTGTTAACTTTAGTCCTTCCATGGTTCAAGAGTCTAGAATGATTCCTCAGGTGCTTGTGCTCATGGTATTTTTCATAGCTCTTCCAGACCAATGGTAATCATGGGTACCCCATTTTAATCTTTATGCTGTGTGACTATAGCTCTTGCCTTACACCTCCATCCCTGTGCTGACGTTACCACCTTCTTCTCCTTTCTCCTTTATTACTTTCCAGCCGCTTTGCCTTTTCTAGTGCTCTCTCTTACCATCCTCTCCTGTGGAGGTAGGGGCAAACTGAACCTTAACTTATGTTTTAAGGTTGATATTTTGTATTTTTTTCAAAGTGAGATACATAGCCTTAAGTAATATTTCTGAACCATGGAAAACAGTCTTGGATTATAGATGACTTGAACTCCCCTTCTTAAACAGCCCCAAACATAGTACTGAGCTGATGTAGTTAGACATCTACATTTTCTGTAGCTAGTTCAAGAATCTTATGCCATTTTGCTATATACTTGTTCATATGTCCTGGTTGAACAGGCATGTACATGGTGTGGCTTAAATATAGAGGGTTTTTAATTTCTGGTGTTGTAATATTGACTGTCTCTCACTTCCAGAAACCAGATGTCTTGACTACTGGTGCTGGGAACCCAGTAGGGGATAAGCTTAATATTCTGACAGTAGGGCCACGTGGACCTCTTCTTGTTCAAGATGTTGTTTTCACTGATGAGATGGCTCATTTTGACAGAGAGAGGATTCCTGAAAGAGTTGTGCATGCAAAAGGAGCAGGTATGTTTAAAAACAATACTTTTTCTTCTGTGTAGAATTAAGCTTTAAAAAGCTTTTGAGTTAATACATAGCTTGTTCCAGACAAATTGTATTATAGTATCTAGTAAATAATTCTGTCTCAACAGTAGTGGTAAGGCCTGGTTTAAAAGAATGCAATGCCAGAACTAGAAGCACTGAAAAACTGGGTTTGTTGTGTCTTTGGGTTTTTTTTTTTAAAAAAGAGACCAGAAATGTAGTTATAGCCCTTAGATTTTTATTGTATCTGTTGTAGTCTCTTCTATCTGTTCCTCCATCCATTCCTCTGGAAGGGAAGACTTACCCATGTCTATTTTAATCTGTTTGCATGGTACTTGATGGAGATTCTTGTCTTTATCATCTGATGTATCTGTCTGCCAAAGCAAGATGATGGTCTAATATTTAAATTAAAAACTAAAAAAAACCAAAAAAATCAAAACAAAACACCACCTCACTTCAAAAATTGCTATTTATCTTACTTGGGTAGAACTGGCAGCTCTGATTTTTGTTATGTGTTGCCCTAAAGAAGAAAATACGGGACTGAATTTTATTATAATGTGAATGTACATGGCAAAAATCCCTCTGTGGGGGTGGGAAGAACTTTGGTCTACCGGTAGGCTGGATGAAGCAACAAAAATTCTGCAACACATATCAGGATTAAAGAAATACTTGTCTTGCTCTGAGATAAATATACAAATCTTGGGAGAAGAGCATCCAAAAAGGTATTGTTTGTGACTTTGCACAGTACAAATGAGGTCTGTATTGCTGCTGGGAACTGTTAGAATCAGTTAAGGAGGGGAAAGTGAGCACTATGCAAATAGCAGTTTGTGTTAAGTAAATCTCATTTTGTGAAAATAAATTGAGTGTTTTAGTGCATAGAGAGAAACTCTGTTTAAATTGGTATATTTCCATGTTTCCTTTTGACTTAAAGTTGTATGTTGGACCATAGTGGAATAATAAATATGCTGTGAGTGGAAGGAAGGTATCTAGATCTGATATTTTGCAATAACTTTTTCCAGGAGCCTTTGGCTATTTTGAAGTCACACATGATATTACCAAGTATTGTAAGGCAAAAGTGTTTGAACACATTGGAAAAAGAACTCCGATTGCTATACGATTCTCCACTGTTGGTAAGGCTCTAAAGTTATTGTGTATCTTCTTAAATGTGTACCATGGTTACACTGATAGCAATGTTTGCCTTGTGGAGCACTTCAGGTAGTTAAGGTAGTTTGAAATGCTTTCTGCCAAGCATTTCCTTTTCTGTGAATGTCATTGAAGTTGTAAGACCTTAAGCAGCTTCTGCATCTTTCTGCCAGAGCTCTCTGTGGACCCTTTTTGCCTAAGAATGTGAGAGAAAGGACAGTCTAAGCTCTTTTTTTTCTGACAAAGTTTGCTTTGTTTTTGGATGGATGGTAATTAATACTTGTATGCTGTGGTTTAACGCTTGAAAGTTGAATACCTATAATCCCTTATGCTATAGGAATGCTTTCGGGATGAATGCTGTAAAGTAAGTACTAGGCAAAGACAACTAAGCAATCTTCCATAAATAAACAAATTCTTATTTCTTAGAGCTGAATGCATGACCTAGCAAAATCTTAAATTACATTAGTTTGAAACATTCATTGTGATCAATATCTTGTCTGATAGAGTAGTAACAATAAGTTTTGAAAGATCACTTTTCTATCTGTATTGAAAAGAAATACTAATGAGAATTCAGATCTGGAAGTAGTATTAGAGAGAAGGTAGTCGAAGAAGGCTCAGGGAGCTGCTGGTTTTGGCCCACTGGCTTTTCCCTGTGTCACCAAAACTGAACGAGTCATGGAATGTCATATGGGGGGAAGGACACACAGCTGACTCTGATCTGTGGACTGTATGCTGAAGTGGGTTGTTGCATTGTTACCTTTCCCTGCTCTGTTTGAACATGTTTTTTCCTAGCTGTTCTGTAGTACGCTTTTTTCCTTAATGAGAGAATGAGGGTCCTTGTTACTTCATTATGTTTAGCATTAGCTGTTCCTGAATACTTCTGGAATGCTTTTGCTCTGGTATAGTTACTCATTGAAAGGACTGGTTTAGATAAAGCGGAAAGGGAAATAAAAGCGTTGCAACTCTTCTAAAATAAGTTCCCTTTTTACTAGGAACTTTACTAGGAACTTAGGCGTGCTATTTAGATTGCTACCTTCCAAATGAGAGCTTTCATACTGGGGTTTGATGCACGGAAACTAATGTTTTAGCTGATTCAGCCTTATAATCTGATGTTGTCTCTGATAATGCAGATTCCACTCTTAATTGGTTCAAGTGGATATACTTGTTTTTTCTTTCTTTTAACTGTGGCCCAAATGCTTGGGTGGATGTCTGTTTGCGCTTTGGAAACTTCCAGTGCCTGAAGTATTATTGAGAATATGCCAAAAATTTCTTGGTATAGAAAAGACTTAAATTAATAAACCCTGCCCTTTTTAGGATTTTGTGGTATATTCTCAAGTTCAAAGTTATGCTTACAATTTGTATGCATTTCCTATCATAACACTTCTATATGTTCATGTGTTTTTTCAAGCTGGAGAATCTGGGTCAGCTGATACAGTTCGTGACCCTCGAGGCTTTGCAATGAAATTCTATACAGAAGAGGGTAATTGGGATCTTGTGGGAAACAATACTCCTATCTTCTTTATTCGGGATGCAATGTTGGTGAGTAAGCATAAAAGGTGAGGGTGAGCTTGTGAAAGAGTCCAAAAGTTCATTCATGTCTTGTTCTTGCTTCACTGAGAAGCAAAAGTTGCTGTTTTGACACACTTAAACTTTCTCTGTTAGATGGTCCAAACTTTTTTTTTACTTGAAAAGGTGTTGTTTAAAAAAATTTTAAAATTAAGAACTAGTGCTTGATTATTTACATGGTTTCATACCACAAATAGCACTCTTTCAGTTGTGTTTGCTAGTGTGTATCCCACAACAGAATAGCCGGCAAGTACAGTATCGGATCTGAAAAGTGTTACTGGTGTTCAAATTAGCTGGTTTACTCTGAGTACAGCTTTTTCATTCTGAGGCTTTTTGAGGGAAAGAAAAAAAAGACTTTTCACTTTAAACACTTCTTGCAAATTCTTTCCATTAAGTCTGATTTTTCTTTTTTTTTTTTGTCTTTTAGTATAAGTTTAACAGCACTTTGTAAGCAGAGGGACTTACTTTGAGGGCAGAAGTCCTCCTTTGTATGTCTGTATTCATTTATGGGTCAGATGTTCAGTTATACAACTTTAAAAATATTTACCTCTCACTTTATTGATCATCAAATGAAAGCATTCTTTAGCTTTGAACAGCCTGTTTATCCTAATAGTAAATGTTTTGCTCTACCCTAATTTTACTGGTCTGTGAATGAATTTGGTTGCAGGAGGGGTATGACAATAGAAGATTATTTTTTTTAAGTGGTCTTACAACTTTGTCACATCTTCCAGTATGCTGTTCCTTTCAGTTAAGTGTATTGAAAAAAAACTTACCTTGTGTTGTACCAGGAGTTGCTTAGTATACCCTGTATAATTTGGAGGTGTTACAAATTTTTTCTTCTCTTCCTTTCTCTTGCTTCCACTTTTGGGCAAATTAGTTTCCATCCTTCATCCATAGCCAAAAGAGGAACCCTCAGACTCATTTGAAGGATCCAGACATGATGTGGGACTTTTGGAGTCTTCGCCCTGAGTCTTTGCATCAAGTAAGGTTCTCCTTTTGATTTTTATCTTGCGTGATTAAGAAATAATCATGTTATTACGTGATTATATGTTTTTAAATATTTCTTTTCCATGTTTTATCTAGAAGCCTATGTAATCTGTTAGGAACACTAAAGGTGGAAGGCCTACAATAACTTCTAAGGCTATTAGTATGTGTATCTAGCCTTTTTTATTTTAATGACTATGGAATGGGTGGGTTTCTTCTGTTTTCATAGTCACGTTTTTATACAGGGATGAAGGGGAAGTTGTTAAGTTTTTTCTAACACTAAAGCAGTGGAGATACAGATGAGCAACAAACTGTTAATGTTAGAGAACAGTAAAGTATTGTGAAAGTAATGCTATCACGTATAAGTTTATTTGAAGCTGTATATTGCGTAGCACATTAGATCAACACCAAAAGTGACTAGAATTCACAGTGCATTCTAATTATTCTGAAATGTATTTGTATCTAAGAATGTTATGTAAAAAAAAAACCCCTGATATAAAATAAAAAATACAGGGTTTTTTCTTTTTAAAAGGAAAATGGGTTCATACAGAAGCCTTCCAGTAATTACTAATTGGAAAAAGTGCCACAATCATTGTTATCATAAACCTAAAGGCAGTGTTTTGAATGTGTTTGCATGGTGGTATGTTAACTGCTTGAAGACTTTGAAGTTAAGGACTTCAGTTTTCAGATTTTTATCTTGAACCTGGAAAAAATTCTTATCTGTATGTGTGACTTGAATTACTCATGCTTACGTGCTCTGTGCTTACAGGGGAAATCAGAACATCACTAGGTTAATATCTTGTATTTCACTGAATATTTCATGTGAGTGGCTGTAAAATTCCACATAGGTTTAATTCACAATTGTTCTTTGAAATAAGGATGCTTTGGTTTTGTACACTAACACTCTTGAAACTTAAACTAGAAATTCCTCAAGGAATTCATAACATTAAGGTAGCTTCCAGTGATGCAGATTAATGCAATAACCAAACTTTGTCTCAGTCACTTCATGCTTGATCTGGTGAGTCCATTAATATTGTTTGATCCTTCTCTTTAGGTGTCTTTCTTGTTCAGTGATCGTGGTATTCCTGATGGCTATCGCCATATGAATGGATATGGATCGCATACTTTTAAACTGGTTAATGCTAGTGGAAGAGCAGTCTATTGCAAATTCCATGTGAAGGTATTGATTATTTTTTTTCCAGTTATCTATTGCAAGTATACATCGTATTGGATAAAAACTAGTTTAAATAGATTGTCTAAAAATGTTCTGTGACTTCCAGCTTAATTAAGAAAAGACTTGTTAATGCATAGACCCAATCAAAAAGTTGGGGAGGGGGTGTTTAATAGCAGTTTCATGCCTTTAACAAATATGACAGGCATCATTGTACTTGCTATGACACAGTAGGTATTTACTGGAGTATAAAGAACTATTCTTTGGGGAGCTTTCTCTTGTTATTGGAGAACTCAGTCTCCTGGCGTGGTGAGCTCTGAGCACCTAGGTCAGCTTATTGCATTTCAGCCTCATACCACTAGGTGTTTTGGGCATGAAGCTGTGCCAGAACTTCCTATCGGACTCCCTTGCTATTGTTCAGTGCAGATGCAAGAATCCTCTAGCCTTTTGGAAATGAGTTTTATTCAGTCCGTGGTATGTTCATGGCTACACAGTAGTTTGGATTCAGCAGGTGCTTTTTCAGGTAAAAGTTCTCTCAGTCTGGATCTGGTTTTTGTTCCCATTTTTCTTCTGGATATGAGCTGCATTGATCTAAGATTTCTAAGATGGCCTCAATTGTATGCCAAAACATAAGAACTCTGTTTCAAAGAGCCCTGTTAATGAAGCTCACAGAACTTCCATGGCTTTCTGAGAAAGCAGTCTCTAGCATATCTTGCTTGAAAAATACTTCCATCTGAAGTTTAAAGGCAATACAGCTTACTTTGTTAGACTTTAGTGGAGGCTGGACGTCTACCTTTGAAGCAAGACTTTGGACACCTTTATGTTAAACTAAGAGTGCTTGCATAGCAGCTTTCAGCCTTCAAGTTGTCACAAGCTTATTAAAGTGAAATATTGGTTACTGCTGAAGATCTCACAGAAATAGAGGTGGGGAGTGGTAAATTGAAATTCATGTAGAATCCAGATCTTTCAGCCCTGAGGGCTGCAACTGTTTTATCACTTTGTGTTGGCATGTGATCTGTAGGAAGGGGTGGGATGATGGGACAGGAAAGGAGCACTCCATCCTGTAAGGGGAGAGGGGAAACCTCTTTACTTGATGTGCTGCAAGGTTCATACCTTCAAGTTGAATGTCTTGAGTTCTGCAGTATAGCATTACATATTTATTTCACTCTTATCAGAGAACTAATTTTTGTCTGGCAGGCAACTGTTATTCTGACCTCAAATTACTAGAGACTGGAAGATGGACCAATTGCATTCTTGAATTTTAAGTCTTGTTAAAGTACATTCTTATTAATGATTTATGTAGTACTTTCTGCATGTTGTAACTGGTGCTACTGCTTTTATTGCTTTTAGACTGACCAGGGCATCAAAAATCTTTCTGTCGAAGAAGCAGGACGATTGGCTTCTACTGATCCTGATTATGGAATACGTGATCTCTACAATGCCATTGCCAAGGGGGACTATCCATCATGGTCTTTCTACATTCAAGTTATGACATTTGAAGAAGCAGAGAAGTTTCCATTTAATCCCTTTGATTTAACTAAGGTATCTCTGATAGTGTTGTGAATGTTCAATTTCAGCTATTTTAAGAAAGGTGATGAGATCAAAATACAGGATATGCCAGAACTGAGGTTTTGTTTTTTTTAAAAAAACAGAAAAAGTGTAGTAGTTTCCATGGAGTAGTGCTGTTTTCTTAAATTTCAGTCTAGTCCCTATCAATAAAGTTAGTCTGTCCTTTTTATTTTTTACTTTATTTTTTAAGTGTGCTGTTTATTTTGTGGCCATGATGATTCAAAAATTCTGGGGATGAAATCATATTGATGTTATATCTGATATTACTCTTCCTTAGTGAAACATGGATAGGGCTTTGATTCCAGGCCTGTAAATTACAGCTGTACTGCATTTCAGAAGTGTGATCTCACATCATATAGTCACACCCTGAGCTCACTGGTTTTGAGTGTTGTTGATAATATAGCTTCTGATTGTAGGTCTAATTTTGTCAGACTTCCAGTTGCTGTTCCAAGGAATGGCATGTTGAAAGATACTAACATGAACTTGTTTGGGGTTTTTTTTTCTCCAATATTGCTCTCCCAAAATGGCTAAAGACTCTTGACAGTACAGGCTAAGATGACAAAGAAAAGGCTAGTTAAGCTGTTTGCGTTTTGAAGTAGCTGAAAACAATTGTGCTACTAGTTCCACCTACAATATTGCATTCCTAGGTGGCTTTTCAAGCGCCTCTGGGTATTTCATTTAAGGAGTCAAGTGCTGAGATTATGCTGGGATGATGAAATAAGTTGCACTAGTACTCTGGATTGATTGCAAAAGACTTCTTAAACTAAGACACTTCTCAAAATGCTCATTGGGGAAACAGTGAATTTCTTCACTAATGTATTTTCTCAATCAAGACTTAAACCAGGCAAATGCTACCTAGTAATTAAACTGCATAATACTATATTAATGTTGATTTTAATGTATGTGTATTATGTCTTGTAGATTTGGCCGCATGGTGACTACCCTCTCATCCCTGTGGGAAAGCTTGTCTTGAACAGGAATCCTGTCAATTACTTTGTAGAGGTAGAACAGATGGCGTATGATCCTAGCAACATGCCGCCTGGTATTGAACCTAGCCCTGATAAAATGCTGCAGGTAAACTACAACATGCATAAGATTTTACCTGAAGAGGGTTAATGTTTGCTTTACTGTTTGTGAAAACATTCCTATAACTGTTTACGTAGCAGCAGTAAAATAACCTGACAGATAGAAAGCAACTGATTTTGTTGTTGTTGTTGTTGTTTTTAATGATCACTGTTTGATGTGCTCATCCAAAATTTAAACATAAAGAGAATGGGAAAGAGCTAAAGGAACAGAAAATCTAGAATTTAGAGGGCATCTGCAACAACTATCAAGGTTGATGGGGAAATGCAATCTGTCAGTCTGGCAAGAAGTGTGGGATAAAGCTATAGCAGCAATGCATGTTTATTCATGCTTTTACAGTATATCTTAGAATTCTAAACTCTTATGAGTCTGAGAGGTGAACTTTAAATGCTCTAAAATGGGGATATAACTAATCCCAGATACAAACCACAAGACTGTTCTTTGAGTAGTGTCAGTTTTCTTACAGGTCGAAATACCTGATAAGACTGGCTGCAGTAAACCATACTGTCTGCAGTGTCATGGATGTTTGCATGTTGTTTTTTCAGATTAAAACCAGATTGTTTCAAATGATATCTGTGGAAACAGGAAGGCATTTTGACAGTTTTAACTGGATAAACTCTCAAGTCATCATGCAGTTCTGTTTTGCCTTTTTTGCTCCCACAAACTTCATGGTCGGAATCAGACTGTTGTCTTGGCATCCAGGTGTCACTAGAACTGCTTCACGTTCAGTTCAGTAAATAAGGGGCTACCACATTTCAGATGTAATCAATTTTTAAATCCAAGATTGAAAATAAGTAGGAACACAGTATATTATTCCGTAGTAATATTTAGCACAGTTAAGTCACTTTCATCTCTACATGTGTAACCATTTTCCTCCTTCAGAATAGATGCAGCATTCTGAAATGGGTGGGAAATACCCAAGCTGCATAAATGCAACTCAACCTGCCATTCCTCACTAGCGTTCCAGCAAAGTTAGTTTGTGGCTGAGTGTCTCTCTGGATGTAATTTGAAGTATGTCAAGAACATATATGTAAAGGAAACAGTCTTCTCCCTTTTATTTAATGTATAGTGTTTTGAATTGGGATATACCACTTTCAGCAAGTGATCCCTTTCAGCAAATAGGTTAATGTTTGTGATAAATGTTCTAGGGTCGTCTCTTCTCATATCCTGACACTCATAGACACCGTCTGGGACCTAACTATCTACAAATTCCTGTGAATTGCCCCTTCAGAACTCGTGTGGCCAATTACCAGAGGGATGGACCAATGTGCGTTTCTGACAACCAAGGTAGTAATGAAAATATCTCTAATTATAATGATACTTATACATGTTCTGCAGAATTCTTTTCTGTTCACAGGAGATTTAAGGTATTTGCTAAACAGATAATTTTATTGGGTATTACTAACTTCTTATACTGTGAGAAATGCTACACTTTCTCCTCAACCATTCAGTGTCTGTTCTGACTTTTTCCCCCAACTCACACATCACTGTATCACTTCCTGAGCTTCAGACTTCCCAATCTACTGTTTTTTTTCCTTTTATGTGAAAACTGTTCCTTACTTCTCCGAATATTTGTCAACCTCTTACTACCTTTGCTTACATTACTAGATCCCTTTTGAGTTTAGTTGGCCTCACCCGCAGTTGTTACAAATCCACCATGTGCTCTTTTCTTTTGTAGAGTGCCCTAAATTTGACCATGTGCTGTTCCCAATACTCTCTTTAACTCAGCAATCAAAAAGTAATTTACTTTATTCCAGATGAATTCAACATCTATTATGTGATAGGTAATGACATATCTTAGAACCTCATGCTTGTGCGTGTATAAAGTTGCATGCATTTCTGTTCTCCATGTGAATTACATGGCAAATAAAGTTGTTTTCAGAGAAGTGGTTTTGATCCACAGTTTTGGTATCAGGAGATCATGCATCAGTATAAATAGCTAGCTTTTTTGATTTTTGACGAGGTTGAAGTTTGCAGAGGCTAAGCTGTCAATTTATTATTTGCTCCCTTTTTCAGGTAACTTTATGAATGCGTTGAATAGCTAGTCTTCACACAGATCAGAGGAGAGTCTCCCTGATTAATTTTTCTTACTACAAAAAGTGACCTTTTATTCCTCCCTTTCCTATGTTGTTCTTATGATGTTAATTGACAAGATACTGACTTTTATCTCGTCATCTCCTGTTTGAAGGATCTTGTTGAAAGCATACTTAAATCTAAATGTTGTATTGCCTTTATGACACTTATTTGTGTATCCACTGTATGTCTCTTGTCAGTCTTGTACAAGTATTGAGAATCAAAATTTTGCTGTAAAACATAAGCATGCTTGTGTAGATTACAGAATGCATTCTCTATGTTTTTTTAAGACATTAAAAGAAGCACATGGATGTTCCTTATACAACTTCAGCCTTGTGTGAAATAGTTGATAGTCTCTTAACTATAAGTGGTTTTCCATGTGATGGATGTAACTTACTTGCTACAAACAGACTAATGTTTAATTTTGTAAAATGGGGGGGCGGTTTCTGCTTGATTCATGAAAGGTAGAATGTTTGTCAACTTTACATGCTTGTTTAGAATGAGTGTATATCTCTAAATCTGGGAAAGGAGACTTTGGATGTTTGGACAGGAGGTGGGGAATTTGTTTAAAAGTGTAAAAACCAAGTGAAGCCTAAGATGTGTTTAAAAGCTTACAAGTAGGCCTTTAAGAGAAAGGAGGTTGGCAAGAAAACACCCTCAAATGCATTCAGTAACATCACTAGTTTGTGTTCCTTTAAAGACTTCTAGAAATGTGCTTGTTAAAGGGGACTTAATTGAGAAGGTTCTAAAATAATATTTTAAATGAAGAAATATGCCACAGAAATGATTTACACAGAAGTTAATTATCCTAGAATGGTTTGGGTTGGGAGGGACCTCAAAGATCATCTAGTTCCAACCCCCCTGCCATGGGCAGGGACACCCTCCACTAGACCAAGTTGCCCAAAGCCCCATCCAGCCTGGCCTTGAACCCTGCCAGGGAGCCAGGGGCATCCACAGCTTCTGTGGGCAACCTGTGCCAGGGCCTCACCACCCTCACAGGGAAGAATTTCTTCCTAATATCTAATCTAAATCTCCCCTCCTTCAGCTGAAGGCCATTACTCCTTGTCCTATCACTACATGCCCTTGTAAAAAGTCCTTCTACTATCTTTTTGTTTCTACTTCTAGGCAAAAATCTATTCAAAAATTACAGATTTCTCAGAGACACTTATGCCATCTCTATATTTGCATTCTTTAAATTTGAAGACTGACTTTCATATACTCAGTCCACTATGTTAAACTGCTTTGCTTTCTGATTTCCAGGAGATTGCAAAAGGCAAGAGTATAAATGCCAAGACTAGAGCTTTAACTTTGTCTCTATTCAGCAGGTTATGCTCTGTCAGCGTTTGCTCAATAGTGACTGGTTTACACCTGAGAGTAAACAGGGATATACTTAAGCTATGCCTTATGCCAAAAACACTGTATTCCTTTGGGCTATAAGTTCTAATAGTTGCTGAGGGAGGAGAAGGAAATATTTCTAAAATGAGAACTTAGACAGCTGCTGCTGTCCAAGAACAGATAGTAAGCTTATTTTTATGCATTTCTGTAAGTTCATTATGTGTTTAAAATAAACCCCCTATGTAGTTAAGACTAGTAGTACTTTAAATATGTAAAAAAAACCCCAAAAACTTTGAATGACTTCCATGACTTTGTCTACTGAAATTGCCTGAGCAATGCTATTGTGAGAGTGGACAGAGTTCCTTATTTCTGAAACAAATCCATTTTTACATCAAAAAGCTATTGAAGTTCCATTTCTAATAAGTGCTGTTAAGTACTGGCTTGAAGATACAGCTCCTGATGTTCAGCTGCATGTTGGCAGAAAAATGCTGACAACTGTTTTTATTAAAGTCATAATTAGGTAATTGATTTAGGTTCTTCTAGGTAAAGAACATTTTCTGTCTTCTGACTTAATTTCAGAGCTGGCATCTGATTGTTCTGGTTGGGTTTCTTGGGGGGTGTTTGTCTTCAGGTGGTGCCCCAAACTATTATCCAAATAGTTTTACTGGTCCAGAAGATCAGCCCATGGTGAAGGAGAGCCGTATGTCTGTTTCGGGAGATGTGCAGCGCTTCAATAGTGCAAATGAAGATAATGTGACTCAGGTATGGTGTATGAAAAGGCTTTATATATTGCTTATTACATGAGTTTATAGGATGAGTCTAGAGAATATTTGTGAGAATCATTCCAACATGGCTCATCTCTGAAGCATCTGGGCTAACCTGAAGCTCAGCTCTCATGAGAGCTTGGAAGATCTCCATACAGCTTAATTTCATGAAGAAG